GGGCCCGAGTTTTCCCGTCACACACACACACGCACACACACAGCCGCTAGTCGGGATACTACAAATTGGTTAAATTTGATGGCATCGCACTAATAAGCTAAGAAAATAAAAGGGCAACGCGCATGGACGGTTTTCGTCACCTCACAACGCCCCGAAGTCGACCAAGGGAGGGTTTAAGGGTAGAGCGTGGGAGAGTGGTGCGAGGTGTTAAGTGATGTGAAAAGATTAGGCAACGGGTTTCTCTCCTACCTCATTTGATACATAGGTATAGTTGTAATCATGTTTGGCTCGTCTCTGGACCTCCTTGGTGAAGGCGAGATACTCGGGGGTGTCCGGCTTCCTCAGTGTGACAGTCATTAGAACACGATAGGCCTCACGGGCCTTCCTGTTCTCCTCTGCCGAGGCACTTGCACGGTACCAAGGTCGCTTCTGCTGTTCAGTGCTGATAGGAGAGAGAGAAAGGTGAAACAGGTAAAACGCTGCGACAGGCATGTTCTTTCTTGAATTGGCAAAAGGTGACACCGGCTCCCACATGCACACTGCTGAGTGCAGAGGTGAAGGCGTCAGTTTACTATGACAAAATCTATCGGGCCAAACACATAAACAAACACGTCTGGAGGGCGGGGGGAGGGTGTATGAGGACACCAGTAGGATGGATTTACATTCTCGTACTTGAAAGGTAGTTTAGTGAGGCCAAGCATTCCGCCACTGGAGATAAAAATAATTCAAGGGGGACAATGGAAACGTTTGAAAACTCAATTGGCTCTAGTCAACAAGTCCTCCACACACATCAATAACTATCCAGTATGACAGTAGGATTATCACCGTGTCGCAGTGAGTCAGGTTAACATGGCATTCGACGGTCAAAACCAAAGTGGTCGATCGTGGGTGTGTTGACTATTCAACCATCGTTTCGGACTATGTCCACCGTGCGCGCCCCACGACGAGGCAGGTGCCGGCACGGTGACTTGTGCATGATTTAGTCCATAGTGATGGTTGGCTGGCAGGCGTGGCATTTACCGTACTCCGTTCTTGCGAAATGCATCATGTCAATGTCCTTTTTTGGCTTTTTATTCGCCTCCTCTAAAGGTCTAAGTTGTGTTCGTGCTTAGAGCACTACACTCAAAAGGTCTAAGATTTGTCCGTGTATACAGAACTGCAATCATGAAGACAAATCACAGATTATTAGAAAAATATAGACGGCATCTGTAGGAGGGGTTTATTATGCACAGAATTCAGTTGTTGTCCAGCTGTTGCATCCAGTCATGCCTGAGGAAGATAGGCATTACTGGTGGCAGCTGCTTTTGTATGATTGTGAAGCAAGCTAAGTGGTGTTCACTTAGCATGTTGCATTATCCGTGGGGGTGTAGTGTATAGCGGCCCATGCTGCGTCTGCAACAGCAGTGTTAACTGCCAGCCGCAGTAGTTAGGACTTGGCCGAAGCATGTGTCCTCAAACCCATTTAGTCCTTCACCTTTGGCCTAACCTCTGCCCTCACGTGCTTTGTCCTATATCCTGGTCCCTTGACCTCGTGGACTGCCTTCCCATTCGTTGATACACCGTGATCTTTATTCCTGTGTCCTTATTCACCACTTCGCACGGTCTTTGTTCCCCGCACCGTGTCCTTATTCGCCCCCTCGTTCTTTTATTCCTGCCCTATGTGCTTATTCCCCTATCAACTGGCAGCAACGGGCCAGCGTCATTCACATGACTGCTCGTTTAAGCACCTCGAACGTATGCTCGCCATCCTTTTGATTTCTACCTCACATTTTACCTATCTTGCACTGTTTATCTCTATAGAACCCACCATATCCTAGTTATCCCGATTGTCTTTTGGCGTATATTCTGACCTCGGATGCGTATATTCAGGTGACGAAACTAGCAGTACATTACGAAAAACCAGACAATATGAATGCTCCTCCTCTCCCACATGGGCCCGGTGTCATTACAAAGCCAAGGATACCGGAGGTGGGGAAAAATTAAAGTGGCTGGTGCGGTGGGAACCTGCACCTA